GATAGATAGATAGATAGATAGATAGATAGATGATAGATAGATAGATATTGATAGATAGATAGGTAGATAGGTAGATAGGTAGATATAGATAGATAGATGATAGATAGATAGATAGATGATAGATAGATAGATAGATAGATAGATAGATAGATAGATAGATATAGATAGATAGATAGGTAGATAGGTAGATAGATGATAGATAGATAGATAGATAGATAGATAGATAGATATTGATAGATAGATAGATAGATAGATAGATAGATAGATAGATAGATAGATAGATATTGATAGATAGATAGATAGATAGATAGATAGATAGATAGATAGATAGATAAGAGAGAGAGAGAGAGAGAGAGATAAATAGATATAGAGATATAGAGAGATTAACAGATTCACTTCCCAATTTAATTCTGGAGACCCCTTGCATTCATTTTCTACAAAGTAAACCTGTTTTGTCTTTCTTCACCTTTATTGTCAATTCTTTATTTGGATCTATTGATTGAGGAGGCTGCTAATTAGCCTTGTTGGCTAAATGAAGCCCCCGCTATTCTAGGCACAGCGTCTCTCTCTCTGAAGCATCCCCTTAGGGGTACAAGCGGAAGGAGAATGCTGTCGCCTTTCTGCAGGTAGTCCTCAACTTACAATTGAGCCCCAAATTTCTCTCGCGAAGCGAGACATGGGTTAAGCGAGCTTTGCCCCATTTGACGACCTTTCTTGCCACCGTTGTTAAACGAAGCAGTGCAGGTGTTCAGTGAGTCGCACGATTGGAAATTGAATCTGGCTTCCCCATGCTTGTCAGAAGGTCATTAAAAAGTGATCCCGTGATCCCAGAGCGCTACAACCGTCATAAATATGAGTCAGTTCTCACAGGTGGTCGGAGAGGGGAGGAGTGAAGTTGCCAGGCACCTGCCTCGGAGTTCTTTTTGCGACGGGTTTATTACTTCGAATCCTGACACTTTCTTTATTTCTCTCTCTCTCTCTCTCTCTCTCTCTTTCTTTTTCTCTTTGGAAGGATCTGCTCATGTCCTTTAGTGACGGAGACCAGGACGTCTTCTTCGAACTGTGGGAAGAGCGCATCCCTCCCTCCATCCGAGAGCAAGAAGCCGTGGCTCAGAAGCTGGAGTTCTACCTTCACATCCACTTCGCCATCTACCCGCTGAAGCACGCCGTGGGGAAGCCCGTAAATGTCCTTCTCTAAATGATCATCTTCATTTAACGACCCCATAATCCCTTGCCGGGTGGAGTCTGGGCAACTGAATGGAGCTAGCGGAAGTGTTTGAGTGGCCGGATGCTCTTCCTGTTGCCAAGGGGGGGTTTTGTTCAGAGAGAGAAATATCTGCCTCTACCTAGGATTGAACTCACAGCCTCCTGATTGTGAGGTGAGAGCTCCCCCTCTAGGCCAATTGCACCACTCCAAATTGTCTTCTCTAAATCACCTGTCCTAAATTCTTTTGTTGAAAGGAGCAGCTAGGAATCGGTTTATGATGGTTCCGGTGTCCCTGGGCTCACGTGATCCCCTTTTGTGAGAAGCACTTCGGCACTGTGTGATTCGCTTAACAAACTGCAGGGATCCACTTACAACGGCGGCAAGGAAGGTCGTAAAAAGGAGCAAGTTCGCCTAACAAGTGTTTCACGGTATTGGGCTGAGTAGGTGGTCGTAAGTTGGGGACCACCTGTATTATCCTGAAAATTATCGGTAGTTCTCCACCGACGACCCAGAATTTCCGGTGCTAAGCAGGGAGAGTTATTACGTGCATTTCGCCCCACGGTACAATCTTTTTTTTTTTTTTTGCCACCGTTGTTAAGTGAATCCTTGCAGTTGTTCAGCTGTAAGGTGAATCTGGCTTCCCCACGGGCTTTTGTTTGTCGGAAGGTCACAAAAGGGAATCAAGTGACCCCGGGACACTGGGACCGTCGTAAATCCGAGCCAGTTGCCAAGCCTCTGAATTTTGATGCACTGGGGAATGCTACAACGGTCGTAAGAGTGAAAAACAGCCATAACTCCCTTTTTCAGGGCTGTTGCAGCATTTAATTGTCATTAAACAGATGATTGTAATTTGAGGACCAACCGTAACTGCTCCTTTTCCCAAGAAATGACAGCCAAACCCCTCCTCTCAAAATTAGGTGCTTGAAAAAGACTTTTATTGCCTTAAAATCTGTAGAGATTCTCAGCGTTCCAGGCCATGGTTGTCCCAAAGATGCCTTTTTCAGGAGGTGACTGGGCTTCCTTGTTTTTTCTCTGAAGACGTTTTGCTTCTCATCCAAGAAGCTTCTTCGGCTCTGACTGAATGGTGGGGAACAGAAGGATTTATATTCCTTGAAGAGAGCTGGTCATTTGCATCCTTCTAGAGTAGCGGTGTCAAACTCAATTTCATCAGGGCTATGGTTGACCTTGGGGGGCTGGGCAGGCATGGCTGACTGGGTGGGTGTGGCCAGTTTGACACCACTCACTGGGCGTGGCTGACTAAGTATCATGCCCCTGTAGGAATCTGAATCTGAGGAGGAAGGTGAACAGCTGACAGGAAGTGGGAGCGTAGCTCTGTTGGCTGTGGAGGAGGCTGGGGAAGGGCAAAGTCCAGCTGGGCAGAGCAGGGAAGAGGTAGAACAAGGGAGGGGGAATTCAGAGGAAGACCCAGGCCCATCCCCTCTTCATCCTAGGGCACGTAGGGAGGAACAGAGAAGGGAGCAACGTGGGTTGCCTGGCTTACGGGGGAGGAAAAGGCCCTGATTCCCTTCATTAGCCACAGCTGGGAAGGGAGTTTAAAAGAGGTGCATGCTGCGTGCGGCAGCTGCTGGGAGCAAACGTGAGTTTATCCTGTGTTGACTTTGCTTATCTGCGTTCCAACTCCCAACGGGGTTGATTTACTGCCGTTCCTTCACCTCTGGAATTCCTTCTCCTGCCCTGCCGGACTAGTTACCTCATTTTGCCTTGATTGGACTTACAGTTACAGTTTTTGTTGACCACGTTTTGGCCTTGAATCTCTGCAGCCAAAGACTGTTCCTGGGAGAATTTTTTCTCCAGCCCGGAAGCTAACCAGGACATTGGGGGCAAATTGGAGCTGATAAAGGGACTCCTATGGGTCACCTGACTGTGTGGCCTTTGTGTCACGCCCCTTTGGGTCATCACACGAGGTGGGCACGGCCGGCTTGACGCCACTCCCCAAACTGCTGGCATGTTTCCTCTTCGCACCGGGGAGACCATGCCAAAGCGACGTAGGCCAGCCCCTTACATTGTCCAGGAGGGCCCCGTGGGCCGGTTCCGACCACATCACGGGCCCGGATTTGGTCCAAGGGCCTTGTGTTTGACAGCCCTGTTCTAGAGGGTCCTTGAGGCTGCCTGGAGGTTTACCTGGGTTCACCTGAGTGGCACTCCTGGTTTCCTGTAGCCTGCAATTTTTCTCTCTGGAAATCCACTCCTTACTCCCACACCGTTCGAAGGCTGTTCATCCCAAATTGTATAGCTAAAATCTGCGGAGATGCTCAGTCATCCAGGTCCCGGTTCTCCCAAAAGGGCTTTTTTCTTTCTTTTTTTTTCAGGAGGCACCTGGACTTTCTGGTTTGTTTTTTTTTCTCTTTTATTGCCTAGTGCCTCCATTCTAGCATGTGGGTCTATTTTTTTATTTTTATTTTATTTTAATTGCGAAGCTTTCTTTCCATCTCTCTGGCCCAAAGGCCTTAATGAAAGTTTGATTTGATTTGAGCACCGTTCCATCACGGCCTAGCCCAGAAGCCGGCCTTGCTTCGTCTTCCTCTCTACCATTCCCTTGGGTGCGCCGTCCTCTGTGTGCATCTCTTCCGACTAGGAAATGAGAAAGGTCTGTTTTCTGTTCAGCAGCTTATCGTTGTTCACAATTCACGTCCGGTTTCTTTAATTTCTTTCCACCGCTGCTCGCCTGCAAACTCGAGATGCTGAACTCTATTTCGATTTTAAGGCTGCCTGCTGGCGTGTGGGAGGCAATATGTCTTGATCCACAGCCATCGTTTGGTGCATTGGGGTATTATTATTATTATTATTATTTTTAAAGTACATGTAGCCCTCCCCTTAACAACAGTTCATTTAGTGACCGCTCAAAGTGAACAACAGCACCGGGGGAAAAAAAGGGACTTAGAATCGAATGAACAGAATAGAATTCAATTTTTGGCCAAGGGTGATTGGGCACACAAGGAATTTGACTTGGTGCAAATGCTCTCAGTGTCCATAAAAGA